TTTTTTATGGCAGAATTCTACCAGACTTTCAAAAAAGAACTAGTACCAATATTCTTCAAACTATTTCACAAAAAAGAAACAGAAGGAACATTGCCAAACTCATTCTATGAGGTCACAGTCACCCTGATACATAAACCTCACAAAGAGTTTCATCCAGGTGCAGTGGCACATACCTGTAAGCCTACCACTCTTGGAAGCAGAGGAAGGCAGATCTCTGTGAGTTCAAGGACAGCCTGGTCTATGTGACTCCAGCACAGCCAGGGCTACACTGTTTTAGGAAGAGAGAGAGTTTTAGACCAATTTTCCTTATGACCATTGATGCAAAAATACTCAATATTTTCAAACCACATGCAAAAACACATCAAAAAAGAAACAAAAAACCATCATCCAACATGATTCAGCAGGCTTTATCCAAGGTATGCAGGGTTCAATCCATCAATGTAATCTACCATATAAACAGACTGAAAGAAAAAAACAAAACAAAACACATGATCATTTCAATAGATGCCACAAAAACCTTTGACAAAACCCAACACCTCTTCGTATTAAAAGTCTTGGAGAGATCAGGGATACAGGATGTATACCTAAACATAGTAAAGGCAATATACAGCAAGCCAATAGCCAACAAGTTAAACAGACCCTAGCTGCGACTCCTAGCAGCTGAAGATATAAAGCCTGGACACCTTCTATAGCCAGGTGGGACTTCCAGTGGAGGAATGGGTATACCAATCTACCCACAAAATCTTCAACCCATGTCAGAAGTCATTTTGTTAAAGGAGCTCATTAGGCAAGTGGGCTTTCTGGAAAGTGACCCAGTATTTTGCCAGGTCTGTACTATGAAACACCCCAGAATTATTTCCAGTCCTTGACACTCATTCTCTGTGCACAGCTGCATCTCTCTGCAATCTGTTATGGTATGAACAGTCACTTTCTGGGTACTTACTGCTGTTCAGATGAATTAATTCCTGATTATGGAATTCCTGACTTGACTCAAATAATTTTAAAAGCTAAATTGCTTTAGGACTTCTTAAACATCTCTAGAAAGTTTATGGCTGCAATAAATACCTTTCTAGATCTCCATATGCCTCAATAGGAGACAGGCTTAAGGCAGATTTGTAGCCTCAGATAGCCTTCACTCACAAATCCTGGTATACAACATAAATATAGGCAAGTTGGTTTAAACTTCCTATGAATCTAAATTATAATAGGACTACCACACAATGTCCAGTTAAGTGCAAACCTTGATGTCATTATATACAACTGTTCTGTTGTAATTCTTTGTACCTTGTCACCATATGGCATAATATACTGTCATTTTAAATTTTCTTTGTTTACTTTGTTTCTAAGATTATCGACCCAAAAATAGCTGAAAAATGGGTAGCCAAGTCAGTCCTAACTGAAAAGACATATTCTTGTGACTTTTAGACCCTGTTAACCCTTAGGCCGTGCCAACCTTTTTCACTGTGAACTCACTATGAACTTATGTAATGGATACATAGATAAGAAATATTTAGTTTTAAAACATGTAACCTGTTGTGTTTTGGAATTCATCTGTTTTGTGGTTAATTGCCTTTTTGACTATGACATAATTCCTTTTCTGGGAGCTTTCTCTCTGAGGTATAAAGGCTATACAATAAGCAGTGGCAACACACACACACACACACACACACAATGGGCTTCCAGTGGTGGAAGCCCATTGAATGAAAGCTGGCTGGAAATCGATTCACCCATGAGTTAGAAATATGTATATAGATATGTGTTTGCATGTAAACATGTCTGGTTTTTGTACATACGTTACATGAGTGTATGTCAACTATGTGTACGTAAGGAGCTCCTTTTGTATTATCCATTGGCCATGTACATGAATATGTCTGATTGTTTGTCTATGTGTATTTATGGGCTGATGCTATGGAATTGGCAGCCTTAACTTGCTGCAGTTTCTGCAGAGGGAATGCTAGTAAAATCAATATTATCTCATATGTAAGCTTGTAGGGACTTGTTGAAGTTAAAGTTCTTAACTTCATCCATGTTTTTCCTTGAGCATGTGTGCATGAATCGTCTTTGCTTACTTTCTCTCCCTTTTTCTTTTTCTTACCAAATCACAAACAAGTTAACAGTGATTCAGATCTATCAGCCAAAGATAAGGAGAAAAAAAAAAGTTTATTTTAGCCTGTGGAGGCATCCCCAGTGGCCTGCCCTGGGCCAAGAGCTAATCTCAGATCAAAGAGCCCCCTTTTTTTTTTTTTACAAACCATTACAATTTGGCTAGAAGCTGCCTTTTACAGTCCTGGCTGCAGAAAAAAAGGTGATCACTTAGGAGCAGTGTAGCCAGTCACTAGACCTAGAGAAGGAATCCTGGGCTCCCTCTCCTACTTCTTTTCCTTTCAATCATCTTTCATGATCAGTTGCTTGGCCATCAGCTTGGCGACTCTAGAGATAAAGTGAACAGGGGAACTCTGCCATCCCATCCCAGATCCTACCTTGGACCCTGGAACCTTGGCAAAGCAGAGAGAGAGACTGTGATAATCGAACCCTTGAAGACCTTAACAGACCCAAAATTTGGCCTGCCTACAAGATGTGCAGGTATAAAGATGGAACAAAGACTGAGGAAATGGGCCACCAATGACTGGTTCAACTTGAGATCCAGCCCATGGGAGAAAGCCAGTCCCGAACACTATTAATGATATTCTGCTATACAGGAGCCTAACATAACTGTTTTCTGAGAGGCTCCACCTAGCAGCTGATAGAAACAGACACTGAGACTCACAGCCAAACATTAGGTGAAGCTCGGAGAGTCTTGTGGAAGCTAAGGTAAAAGAATTGAGAGAGCTGGAGGGGTCAAGAACACCACAGGAAGACCTAACCTGGGCCTATGGGGTCTCACGGAGACTGAACAACCAACCAAAGAACATGCATTGGACGGACTTAAGCCCCAGCACTTATGTAGCAGATATGCAGCTTGGTCTTCATGTAGGTCCCCTAACAGTTGGGGTGGGGTCTCTCTCTCTGTTGCCTTTGAATCCCTTCCCCCTAGCTGGGCTGCCTTATCTAGCCTCAGTAGGAGAGGATGTGCCTAGTCCTGCTGAGACTTGATGTACCAGAGCAGGTTGGTACCCATGAAGGAGGGGGCACTCTTCTTCTCTGAGAAGGGGAGATGGACTGGGAGAAAAAAAGGGAGGGGGCTGTGATTGAAATGTGAAGTACATAAATTTGGGGGGTGAAGGTTGTGGTACATTACTTTTCCATTGCTATGATAAACAACATGACCAAAAGCAATTTAAACAAGTTTATTTGGGCTTATGGTGTGAAAAGGTCTATAGATGTCCATCACAGCTAGAAAAGCATGGCAGGAGGAGCAGAAAGCTGGACAGTTACAATACTTTCCTCCACATACAGGAAACAGGAGAACAGGAAGTGTGACCCCGCTATAAACCCTCAAAGCCTGCCCCTGGGGACATAATTCCTCCAGCAAGTTTCCACTTCCTGACCATTCTATAACTGCCCCCAAACAGCACCCCAAGTGTTCAAATACGGGAGCCTATGGCGACACTTTTCAAACATCCTTAGCTTTCTATAGCAACCTTGGTTGGAAGTTAATTTCAGGGCTTAAAATAGATCACCCCATGTCTTTCCTGGTTTATAGGGTTGCTGAGAAGAGCACACTGTTATTCTAAAGTCTTTGCCTTTGTGGGTGGGTGTTTCCCCTATAGATATTAATGTTTGTGTTTTTATTATCTGGACTATTGGGGAAAAGATAATCTCTGGTGATGCTTATGGTTTTCTAAATGCCTCGTGTTTGGATGTCTACTTATTTTAGATTTCGGGACTTTCTGCTGTAACTTCATTGAATAGATTCTCTATGCCCGCAGTGTTTATCTGCACTTAGAGATTCTTATCTACTTCCTATAAATTCTTAGGTTTGGCGTCATTATTATACCTATGAGTTACAGGGCACTGTAGTCACGCCTATTTTCTTCTCTTTATTGATGTTCAGATGAAGTATTCCCTCAGTCCTGTGCTCCATCCCTGATTGATATTCACTTTTCTGCTTGGTCCAATCTGCAGCAATTGCACTGTTTTATTTAGTTTGTGAAGTTTTTTTTTTTCTAACATTTTTGGTTTTAACTTTTTTCAGAATTTCAGTTTCCTTAGTAACTTTGCCTCCACGTTGCCTTCTCTTCTGTGCTTCTAATCTTCTCATATATTTCACAGACCTTTTCATTTATATTGCTTTTTCTCTCTAGGATCTGGCTTGAATTTCTTCCTGTCCTCTAAGTCGTTCCCCCCCCCTTTTTTTTTTTAAAGATTTATTATGTATATGAGTGTTCTATCTGCATGTACACCTTCTTGCCAGAGAAGGCACCAGATCACATTATAGATGGTTGTTGAGCCACCATGTAGTCACCAGGAATTGAACTCAGGACCTCTGCTCTTCAGTATCTTTGGATTCACAGAAGAAATGTGATCTTTTGATGAGTCATAATGAACCGTGTGCCAGTTAATTTTAGCACTGCCATGATAGTATACCTGACAAGAAGCAACTTACTTGAGGAATGGTTTGTTTTGGCTCATGGTTTGAGGGGATGGGAAATCAAGGCGGTGGGAAACATGAAGTTGCTGATCACACTGTATTCACTGTCAGAAAGAAATGAATGTTGGTGGTCCTCAGCTCAATTTCAAACTCTAAGTCATTTGAGGAAGACTATAAAGCAATTGCCTGTGTGTATGGGGGAAGACGGTGGGTAGGAGGTTAAACGTATCTACAATGTATACCACACACTAAGACATCATCTCACAGTTGTTTGGTTCCGTGAGTCCCAGAGAAACGGACATGAATAAAAGACAGCACTAGATTTATTAAAGATCAAGATGCTACCATTTATTGTAGAAAAGAAAAAGAGAAAAATAATTGTGAAAGGAAGAGAGTGCTCTCTAGCAACACTCTTCTCTCTGAAACAGGCTAGTAAAAAACAAAACATGAAATAGATCAAGAGAGAAAAGGCAGTATTCAAGAATATATTTCTGAATACAAAAATTCAGTTATGCAATTAATAACATTCAAAATCAACTACACTTATGTAATTATAAAAATTGTTTCTTTTTTTAAACAAAGTGTTTTAAAAGCTGTTTTAGAACAGGTACAATGTTCTGAAGGCATACAAATCTACCATGGGCATTTTAAGTTTGGTTTTACTGCTGGAGAGTGTTCCCAGTTGCCCAGAAACTACACAAGGCTACTAGTGCCTTCACCATAGGCTTCTGCATACCCTCACTACCAATTTCACAATCAGAATTACAGAGAACAGAGTTCAGGGGGCTATTTTCCCCCTCTCCTTAGTCAAGTTAAGCAAACACAATGAAAAAGGCCAGGAAAAATAAACAACTGGGCATTAACAGATAGAGCCATTGTGCACAGGACCAAACATCAAACTTGTTTTTTTTTTTTAAGGGTAAGGTTTAATGTACTCTAGGTCCTCCTGTCTCTACCTCCCAAGTGTTGGGATTACAGGAAACACACCACCATAGCCAGTGTATGCATTCCCAGGGATGAACCCCAGTCTCCACGCATGCTAGGCAAGCACTCTATTACATGTAGTGGCACTATTCTGAGTGCACAGCATCCGTGATTGTTTTGTGATGATGCCGTAGGCTGGCCTCTCTCATCTTCGGTAGAATTTCTATCTACTGGACCTATTTTCCTCTGGTTTCAGATCACGCCACTTGCAGACAATCATTCTGTACATAGCCAAGCCTACCTGTCAGTTACCAGCTCCTGCTAGAATAGACGGATGTGAGTTTGTGTTGGCAGATGATTTAATGAAGGCTCTGTTACTCCCCATTTGCCACACTGCAACAGAAACCTCACAAGCCAATGGCATAGCTTAAGCAGCAGCTACCTTCAAGTCACCCTTACGTCACAGCAGGGCTGGAAACACTCAAAGTGGAACTAAATACACCATCGTGGGTGAGCAAACTGAAACTCCACTTCCCTCTTTAGCCTAACAACATGCAAGATCTCAAAACATAAAATGAACTGGCAGGTACTTTAAGATCAACCTCTAAGCACCAGTTTAATAAAACTTTCTAAGCAACTTAGACTTCCAGGAAAAAAAAAATTATATTTGCATTGAGTTTCAGCTGTTTATTCACTTTTTTTTTTTTTTTAAACAGGGTTTCTCTGTGTAGCCTTGGCTGTCCTGGACTTGCTTTGTAGACCAGGCTAGCCTCCAACTCACAAAGATTCATGTGCCTCTGCCTCCCTGAGTGCTGGGAGTACAGGCATTTGCCACCATGCCCAGCTGGTTCATTTGCTTTTAAAGGGATGTTATCTGCAAGCTATAGCATATTAAAGCTCCAAAAAGGGGGGGGGGGCATTAAAAACAAAACAAAGTCTAGCAAGGATCTTTAAGCTGCTTTAAACACTAGTTTTTGTTTTTTTGGTTTTTTTTGTTTTTGTTTTTGTTTTTTTTTAATTAGCTGAAAGTAAGTTTTAGGCTTGGTTGTGAATTTAAAGTGCCTGTAACTAACCATAATGAGAAGTTACCCGAAGAAGAGTAAAATCAAGAGGGTGGGAATAGAATGTCTGCAGGAAAGGAAATCTACAGCTGTGGGGTGCACTTCTTGAACTGGGTCACCTAATTCATTTCACCAAGTCTCATCCCATATACTGCAACACTTGTCACTCACAGGGATATCGTCAACAAAACCAAAACAGACCGGCCCTCCATATCTGTTTCAGCTACTGCCCAGCTGCTAATTATCTAAGAGAAATACTAAAAAGTATTTTTATATGGAATGCAGTTCATGGTTTCATTTCTTGCTCTCTCAGCCTATGGCGACTGTGTGGAAGGAAGGTGGCACTTAGGACATACTCCATAAAGTCACCGTGAGACCAGCACCGACACCTGAGCAAGGAGACAATCTCCATGTAAACGCCTAGCTGGGAAAGTATTTCACCCTTCCCCGAGACAAGACGCCTGGTGTTGGGGTCTGAGCAGCAGCCATACTGAGGAGCAGGAGAGACAAATGTTCACTCCGGGATTGGTCTGTGAAAAGGGACAGTAAGAGAGACAGAACCGAGTGAGCAGGGACCCACCCTCACAGCGTCCCAACAGCCTGGAATACAGGGAGGCCAAGAGGACCGGAAGCAACTCTCCTGAGTCGGAAGTACTCTCCTGGTCCAGAAGGCACAATGGTCCTCTCTGTACAGTACCCACAGACCACAGCGCTGGAAAGACAGCACTCAGGGCAGGCTCCCCGCACCCGGATAGAGCCTGGCTGAGCACCACATTTCCCTCTACAATGGTCACTCAGTAGTTCCCATCGCTCCTCAAACACAGCGATGACCCGTCACCAGGCAGTGAACTGGGGAGAGCAAGGGGTGGGGAGGGGAAACAGACACCAACACAGCCAGGGTCAGAGGTCCTAATTCTCCACTTTAGCCTCTCTCACTGAGCTGCTTTTGAATCAATGCTATTGGCTTGGTAGGAGACGTTAGTAGATTTGAAGTAAATTTCTTCCTTCCACAGTCCAACAAAAGCAGGTTCAGAAACAACCAAAAGATGAGGCAACTGAAGAAAAAGATTCAGGAGTTGGGAAGACACTGGGAGACAATCGTCCAAAAGTGACTAAAATGCGTCCAGACTCAATCTGTTGAGGCAAACTGGCCACAGGCTGCAGGAATTAGGCCAAAGCCTGTGATCTCCCACCTAGAGCCTCCTCACTGCCAAAAAGGTAAGATAGGGCAGTGGGTAGAAGACAGTACAAGACATAGATGCTGAAATCAAAAAAGGTACAGGTCAGGATGATAAAACAAGGAACAGGGTTATGACAGCCCACAGATTTGACCAGAGCCATGCCAGGAAACACAGCATAATGACTGAGGCTGACAGTGAGGCCCCCAGACTCTGGTTTGACCCCGGCACAGCTGGAGCTTCGGGCGATAGGGAAACCAGTCTGAGCCTCGGTTCCGTGACTGCGGTGAGACATCAATCCTGCTCCCACAGGTGGCTCTCTTGAGGACTAGTTAAGATCCCCAACCTAAGAGTGCTGTGCGCGTGGTTAGGCACCAGGCTGAGACATGACCACCTGCAGGCTAGGGTCTTTCCAGTGTCCACCCCGAGGCTGAGTGCCAGTGCTGCAGCATTTCAGTTGCTTGGCATGCATGCCTACTTCCTGCTGGCCCCACAAGGGTTCTCTCTTCCCATGCACTTCCTTGGCCCAACTCCAGCAAAGAACGAAAAATAAAATCAAAAAAGGTAAAACTATTTATAAATAGTGAAGAAAAATAAACAGAGTAAGGAACACGGGAGATTTTTTTTTTTCACTTTCTGATGGCTCTTGTCCAAAACGAAACTGTTTTTAGGCTGCTACTTCACTCTCAATCTACCAGTGTTCCAAAAGGTCATAACACATGGGAGAGTGAGAACAAGAGAAAGAATCTGCACTGAGTATTAGAAATACATCCCATAGCTGGTTGTGATTGAGAACGGCAAGCAGGTGCCATCCAGAGGAGGAGCAGTGTCACCAGGGCAGGCTTTCTGGGCTCTTAGGAAGGGCAGAATCACCTGTTCTCAAACACCGGGGAAGACGCTATATGGAGCAGCGACAATGCTTTCCTTGGTGAGAGGCAAATCCCCAGACTTCTGTCCTTCTGCTGCACTGCTATAACCTCTTCCTGAAAACTGATGGTTCCTGAGCTTGAGGCTTATCTGCTGCCATCAGACAAAGGATGTTCTGTGAGAACTTGCTGGGATACCGTCCAGAGGAAAGGGGTCATGAGAAGACTCTTCTACACGCCCCAGAACCTCCCACTGCGCCACAGGCATTAGTTTAGGACTCGTGACTGCTCCCATAGGCGACCTTCAAAAATGTCCCAGTCGCAAACAACACGCTGCTGCAAGGAAGAGGCACGTGTCTGTGAGACAGAGGTTTGGAGGGTATTTACAAAACTGTCAGCCAGCTTCCGTCCACAGTGCCACCGCACTATGTAAGACACACAGCAAAGCACTTCTTCACGGCATCCCTAGGAAGGAAAAACACGAGGATGAATGGGGTGTTATCACTCCAGAGGCTCCGAATGGCAAAGAGCTTTCGTGAGCATTTCCCAGGGTACCATGCTGCTGAAGGGGAAACAGTGAGGTCAGACCTACTCCATCAAACTGTGGCACCGGCATTTCTTGGTGGTTTTCTCTTGGGCAAATTACTGGTCCTGTTGGGAGTTTTTCAATTCCTCATCTGTCAGTTGTGGTATGGCTTCTCACCCTACAGACTGGTCATGGGGGCTAGTGCATGGCAAATGTGCTAGGCATGTAGCAAATGATAGTTCTTACCATCATCAGAGGAAGATGAGAAGAGAGAGTGGACTATCAGAGACTAAGGAGGCAGACTGCTGCATTTCTACATCAGCCAATCACAGAACACACTGCCATCGCTAGGGTGTGGTCACGGGGCTGTTCTTCATTGCCCATAAGCAACAGGAGAGTCTGAGGGAGCTCCCTGGCACAGGGGGTTGTGCACAGGCGCTGAACATCACTAACAGGCTGCGCTCACTGCCCAGGACCCTGCGTAACTCAGGCAATCAAGGAGCGGGAGCTCGACAGACAGCTGACGGCCCATGCATACCCCTCTTCTCTTCCTCCGCTCCACCTGGCTGGGTAAGAAGGATCACAACGCTGTCGCCCTCACCCCAGGTTTGATACTGTTGTTGGTATGCAGGCAACTAAGGACTCAGAGGTCACAGGAGGTGAGTGAATCCAACTGCCTGAGCAGGCAATGCACTTTAACATCAAAGGCCATCAAGGAGCAGTGTCTGCCAACACATGCCTGAAATGCCAGCACTCAGGAGCCGAGGCAAAAGGACTGCACGTCTCAGGCCTGCATGGGCTATATACAGAATTTGTCAAAGAAAAAGCTTTTGTCTTAATCTAAAAAGGCTCTAGTGAAACACTATGTTTAAGGTCTGCTGCACAGTAAAGTCCCAGGTGTACTCTGTAAAGTAAGGGGGGTTATGGCCAAAATAAGCCCCCTCCTGCCAGGTCCCACAGCACACACGGGGTCTAGAACGCTGGGTCTGGAACACGAGCCCACCTAACCTTGCTTAACCTCTTTTACAAACTCACATGGTCCCAGGATGTTTTCAGCTGTTCTGTGGACACTGAGAAAAACCATCTCAGAAGCCACACTTGAAACTCACCTCATGATTCCTCCCCACTGAAGGAAACATCTACCTGCTCTACAAAGCTCACTAGTTCAAAGAAGAATTAAATCGCTCCCTTCACTTGTACACGCCCATCCTAATAAATTACAAACCCTGAGGAAAGACACCAACATCAGTTCTGTGGGTAACTGCGACTATGCCAGGCACTGAGCTTAGAAAGGTCCACCGATTTAATACCTTGATGTCACTATCTTAAACTTCTTAATAATTTGAAAAAGAGGAACCACACTTTCTTTTTCTATTTATTTATTTATTCATTCATTCATTTATTTATTTATTTATTTATTTATTTATTTAATTTATTTGCTTGCTTGTTTATTTTTCAGAACGGGATTTCTCTGCATAGTGTTGGCTGTCCTGCAACTTGCTTAGAGCTCCACCTGCCTCTGCCTCTCCAGTGCTGAGACTAAAGGTATGCAGCACCGCTCCCAGCAAGAGCCCACATTTCATTTTTCACTGAGCCCGGTAAATTATGTAGGTGGCTTAGGCACCAAGATATGGTCAAACTGTTGCCAAATTGATAAATCCTTCATTAAATGCTCAGTTACAGAAGACCTTGGCTGATTTCACACAGCAAGCTAACCCCTAGGACATCCCTGCCCATATCCTTCTCAGAATAAGTTCCTCCCTGACCCAAAGGCAGTATTTCACAAGTGTTGTTCTGCTGGGACCCATGCACAAAGGCTTGCTCTGTATGACTGTTGGTTGTGCTCCCCAGCCCCTTCAAATCACTGTCGGCAGGAGACCTGGAATGCCCAAGACATAACGTCCTCCCTTTCTCAGCCTTGGCCCAATTCTTTATGTCCTCAACACAGTCATGAAAAAAAATATTCTTATTGAGTAGATGACTGAGAAGAATAAAATTAAGTGGCTTCATTAGAATGGAATCAGAGGTGAAGGTGCTGGGGCTAACTGTGAAAGGCCGACCATCCAAACCAAAGCGTTATTTAACAAACTCCCAAGCCTCTTGGGGATAAGCCAACCCCACCCACTCCAGTCATCACTGTCTCATCTAAGGTCTTGGTAGTCAACAGAGTCACGAAGCTCACTAAGAAGGAAGCACTGGTCATCTAGAGTCCTGGCTCTGCTTTCCCTTTAGACTCTGCTCGAGTTTTTCCCTGAGTGAGTCCCTGTAAGAAGACAAGCAAGCATGACAGACCCCACAGCTCTTGCTCAGTTACACTAAACTGATCGCCTTTCAGTCGCTTCAAAGCTGTAGGTGAAAGGCATACTAACGGGCACCGCTGAGCTTTCTCTTAGTGTGGAATGCCCCAAACACCAGGACCTCAGAGTCTAGCCAACACATCACTAGGTGGATAATGACGTCAGGAGAACCATGGGCCTTGCCATGCCAGTCTGTAAAACAGATGGATGACCTGTGCCTATCTAGCTCAAAGACTTTTAGTAAAGATAAATAAAATAACTTGTAATCTCCGCAACTAAACTAAAATCTCCAAACTAAATGCTGTATGCAGGAGCTGGAGAGATGGCTCAGCAGCTAAGAGCACTTGCTGCTCTTCCAGAGGACCCAGGTTCAATTCCCAACAGCCCTGTGGCAGCTCACAACCATCTGTTAATTCCAGTTCCAGGAGATTCAACACCTTCTTCTCACCTCCACAGGAAAGGCACACACATGGTACACAGATATACATATATGGAGGCAAAATATACATTAAAATAAAAATAAACCTTTTAAAAAATTAAAAGCTCTATATAAACACATCATGGTTCACAAACCAAAAATACACGGTGTTGGTATAATGTTCTTGTGGAATGTATACAATTTACCCTTGTTCATTCAAATGCTTATTTCTCTACACCACTATCTGGTTCCAATCCAGACATCACATTTGTGATGCTTATGCTAAGCATCACCTCTCCCAAGTTTGTGTAAACATGCCACCATTTGTTCCCTGTATTGTCAATAAAACAACCAGCCAATGCTGAGCAATGGAGAGAATAGGGTGGGACACCCTGGTCCGGAAGTGGGGAGAGAGAAGTGAATGGGAGGAGAGTCAGGGAAGAGAGATCAGAGAGGAGAGGACTTGGAACCACGAGGTGAGATGAATCGGACCTAAGATATGACTAAAAGCAAGTATAATATGGGAAATCTGAATGGGAGGAAGCTATGCGGGCTTGGAGGCTTAAGATGGAGTAATTATTGCCCAGCATTGTGCTCTATGTTAACTAAATACATCCTAGTCTCTGTGTGGTGATTTGGGTATACAGCTGGTTTAGGAACAACAGCTGTTTAACTAAAAGATAAATCAATAATAAATACTAATAGTCATCAACAACATAGTCTTACCTTGCAAATGGTATGAAGGAAAGGCTATACCTACAAGGAAAAACAAACCAAAGATCAAGTTGAATGGGGGCAGTGGAAAATCCCCCAGCAGAAAGCTCCTGAGGCCCTAAGGTTACATAAACACTGTGCCCTGTGAGTAGCCTTGTGAGAGAGAAGCGTGAAAAGAGCCCATATAACCATAACCCCTCTGAGCTCAGCCATGCTTGTGGTACTGCTTAACTATACAAGCCAGCAGTGACCACCTAAAACAGACACCCATAAGGCATCAGAGTCCTATTTGCAAAAATGGCAAATAAAATCCTCAACAGTTATGTTCTAACACATCATAGGTTCTCAAGAGACTTTAACTTCAACGCAGGTGAGATGGATGGATTTTCTTTTTTTCAAGACAGGGTTTCTCTCTGTAAACATGGCTGTCTTCGACTTGCTTTGTAGACCAGGCTGGTCTCAAATTTACAGAGATCTGCCTGCCTCTTGTCTCCCTGGTGCTAGGATTAAGGGTGTGGGCCACAACACCCAGCTGAGATGAACTTTCTATCCTGCTCCCACTAAAAAAACAAAAAACAAACAAACAAAAAACACTATTCTATCGATGATAATGTACCCTGGTACATTGCTTCAAGAACCCAAGCCACATACTGCCTGTTAAGAAAACTACACAGGGGAGAGACACCTGCCCTGTGTGTCAGCCAGGATGTAAGTCGGTCAGACCTAACACAAGCAAGTGGCAGTAAGAGTTCAAAGGCAATCACCATTTTCCTGAGCCCAGAGGAATGCCGACTCCTTGGAACTGGCTTGAAAACGAACCATATGTATGTAGGTACCAGTTTCTGCACCCAAAAGAAGCCAAAGTATAAACACAAGCCATCAAGCCAGGCTTTTGCAGCATCTACTGGCAAAATGTGTCTCATACTGATCAGGCACCAACTCTTTTCTGAACCTTCCACTTTCCACATACACAGGCACACATGCTTGTTTACTTCTGAACACAGTAAATTCTGAAAGGCAGTTTGGACAGGGTGTTAGTTCAAAGTTCCAAAACGAAGACAGGATCTAGTTTATATTCTCAAGATCCATTTCTACTAACTAGGTGACCAGGAGGAGTGTATTTAGAATGCCCACTGGCCTCCCTTTTCTCTGTATCCTAGCAGACATCTTATCCCAAAGTGAACAGCCGCACTGTACTGACACTATTTTGCCAGATAGTGTTACTCATAGATTAAACTTTCAAGGCAACATGGGTATACCTCAGATTAGATACACACCATCACCCTCTGCTCCGGATGTTAAACACAGATTTAAATAACCAAGAATCTAAGTTCCATTCACGCCTTTAAAAAGCCATTTCTCTGGTCACCCTTTTATTATACTTGGCCTTTATAATTTCATCTTCACCTAAAATTCCCCAAAGCCAGCTGGCCTCCACTGAGTACACGGATGTCACATCCACATGGGTTTCCATTTCCCTAGCTACTGCTCCCTGGGCTCAGCTGACAATGCCCTCTTTGTCTTTCTAAGGAATGGTCACTGTATCACAATCACCGATTTTCTCACCAGCATCCTTCTCTGGTAGTGTCTATTTGACTGCTGGGCTCTTTGCACAAGCATTTATAATGCTTTCACCATCTAGGCACTTACCGGACATGAGTAGCTCAGTAATATTTGCACATCTCACAACTGACCGTGAGTTCAGCAAAAATGCTGAGGCTACACATGAGTTGCCTCTGGCGACCACTCAAGACCACTAATGCCATCTACTGGCAGTGGCTGAGCCAACTGGCTGGCTTCTGCAGCCTGACTTCTGTCCCACTGGTCATACCTCTTCACGTGAAGAGCTTCCAGGCTTTCCTAACCCTCCCACCCACAACACACCATGTTCTCTCCTTTCCCTCCAAGAGTCAGAGGCTGGGCAGGGGAGGGAGAGAGGCACTGAGGTCACTTACCATGTCAAGGCCAAAGACTGCAAAATGCAGAAGATGAGCGCAAGTCCCTTATTAGCCCACTGAGGAAAAAAAATGACAGTTAGTGGAAGGTGTGTGACAAGGGACATAAACCAAAAAGGTCACAGAAGACTAAAGTTCACACTTACCCAAAAGGCAGAACACAGGGTAAGTGCAAAACACAGCTAGAAGAGGGGAAACACTAATTAATGCAATGTGGCACAAAGCGTTTAACCCATCCAAACAACCACGATGGGAAAAGAAGTCCAACTCAGCCGTAAAAATGTACGTAGAATGAAGAAAAAGAAAGCCTGGCCTGGTGGCACACGCCTGTAATCCTGGCACTCTGGGAAGCAGAGGCGGGTGGATACGCTTCTTCATTTAAGTTTGCCCTAAATGTCTACAAATAAAAGCACCTTTCTGGACCGATCATTCAATCATCAATCTTTTCATTGACCACAAGTCTCTGTAATTCAGCCCTTGTCAGTTCTAGCCTCTGGAAGAGAAAAGGTGTGTGAGAACAAAGGTCAACAAGAGATGTCAACCTCACAGCCAGGAAGGCTGGTATCTATGTATCTGTCACCGGACACTGCCCTGTGTCCTTTCTTAGAAGAGTCTTTCCACAACAGCTTGTCAGGCCATCTACATCTGAAGCTGGAAAAAGGAAAAAAAAAAAAGATGATCCAGCCATCTGCCCTGCCTTTCATCTCTTTTGCCTGTAACTCCTTAATCAGTGTTCCCTAAACATCTCTGTGTCCAGCACTAAACTGTGAAAAGACATAAAAAAATAGCAAACGTAACCATGGCCTTAGACAACATTCTTATGAATGAATGAGAGATGTACAAACTAAACCAAAATTAGAGGCATGGCCAATCAAGTTCAAGTCTCACAATACTGATAAGTATGCTGGGAATCTGGAGAGTGTGGTCTGGAAAGATTTTGACAGATGTGTGAATAACTGGGTGGAAGAAAGGAAGACAGTCTCAGTCTGTGTTGGTGGGACAGAAATAAAACCTTCCAGCCACACATGGCAGTACACGCCTGTAATCCTAACACTCAGGAGAATGAGGCAAGCGGACAGTAAGTTCAAAGCCAGCCTGGACAACTTATGAAGGCCCATCTCAAATAGAAGAATTAAAACGGGTGTAGCTCAGCAGTAGAGCATCTGCCTAGTATGCACGGGACCAGGTTTAATGCCCAGTGTGAAAAAGGGAAGGAAAGGCTCCCATCTACAAAGCCGAGCAGGAAAGCAGCTGTCCTTACCAGCACCAGGATTGTGGCAATCAGACGTGTGGGCTCAAACATGCGCTTCAGCTGCTTCATGGGCCCCATGAGGAAGATGGTACTACGAGGCAAACACACAAGCCATTATGGCTAGAACAGAGCCACAGGAGGCATGCAGCCCCCTCCCCAGGAGCGCCTGTGGCACCAGCAGGAATAGCTCTTGCCCAGCACTGGAGTTACGGGTCTTTTGTGCCCTCATTAAATCCATCAAGAACCTACATACGAAGTAGGGACCATTAGTACACTCATTATAGAGAGGAAGAAAAAGCCCAGGGGGGTCCATAACCAAGGTCACCCAACTAATACGAGAGCAAGCCCATACGTGCATGTTTGACTGTAGCACCACTCTCTCCACACCGCCGTCTGTCACCCTCTCTCTGAGAGGTGCTACTTCACCTCCTCGACCACCTACCCAGAGAAGCTCGGGTTTAAGAAACAAACCCATGCCTCTTCTTTCATAGCCTCCAGGAAATTTAGTAAGAGTAACACCTGCTACAGCTTAATGCCTGCCCAATGCCAGGTGTCACATACAGCACTCATTCCATCCCTTCAACAACTCTGAGACGGGTGATCCTGTACCTGCGTCAGAGCTGTGAAAACGAGAGCTCAGTTTCCCGATTTAAGATCATACAGGAATTCAAAGAGCTAGCGTTCAGCCCGCATCTGTTCAGCCCTTAGAGTGACTGCGTAGGAAGGAGACGTGAGAGCTGGCCAGTGGAAGAGAGCGATCACAGTGAAGCAGATACACACGCCTGACACATCGAGTACAGGCACCAGGCTTCAGTCACACTTCCTGGATCCCAGTGAAGTGCCCAAGGGACAAACAGTGGGAGCGCCTTACAGATGACATTCAATACACACGGCAGCAGATGGCATTAACTACTGAGCATTCGGTAAAAGCCATAGTTTTTGTTGTTGTTTATAATGTCTGCCTCTCTTTAAAGTTAAGCTATTTTGTGAGCTCAAGTGTCCGAGCTCAGAGAGTTCTTTACCTAACAAGAGTGAGAAGCCGAGACCAGGCACACACATGTATCACACACATGTATGAACAGATTCTGGGTCAAGTCAGAAACTCCTCTTAACAACAGAAAATAACAGCATGCCCCTTCACTCTTTCCCTCTGCCGTGTGCTATGGAGACTGTCCCATTAAGAACCGCTAGCAAGGGGGCTGGAGACATGGCTCAGAGGTTAAGAGCACTAGCTGCTCTTCCAAAGGTCCTGAGTTCAATTCCCAGCAACCACAGGGTAGCTTATAGCCATCTACAGTGAGATCTGGTGCCCTCTTCTGCTGTGCAGGTGCACATGCAGGCAGAACACTGTATACATTAAAAAAAAAAAAAAAAAAAAAAAAAAGCTCTTCTGGAGTAAGCAAACTGAGTATATAATTATACTCATTCTAAACTATACATTTAACCCACATTGTAGCTTAAAAAGCCAGTATCTGAGAGAGCTTCAAGGGCAACATTATTGAAGGCCAGCATCTTACTAAAGATTCAAGGTTTGAGAAGGTAAGGCCAGCTGGGTATGGTGGGGCACATCTCTAATCCCAGCACTCAGAAAGGCAGAGAGACAGACCTCTATGGATTTCAGGCCAGCCTAGCCTAAGGACAGCCAGGACTATGTAGAGAGACCCTCTCTCTGACATAGAGAGAGAGGGGACGGAGAGGAAAAGGGCATACTCCACCACCCACTCTACCAGGCAGAAACAGTGCTGAGGTTTGGGTTCAATTGGGGACAAGAGAGGCAGAAATGCAGGCAGCCTTTGTCAAGTGTTTTAGACAGTGTTAACAAAAATATAGATGAGACAGAAGGAGCCCCAGAGGAGGAGGAGGAGGCCACCAGTTCCAGGAAGGAGGCAGTAATCAGCAAAGCTTCACACAAGATGCAACATTAGAGCCAGGATTTAACAAATGAGCAAGGTAGCTGTCGAACTGGGCAGGACTGCATACAAAGAAAATGGCCCAAGAAGAAGCACAGGGGTGCTTAGAGGTTTGAATTCCATCTGCAAAGACGGGGCAGGAAGCCACATGGGGGAGGGGTGTGCTATAAACAAGGGCTCCATGGATCGATCATAGCTCAGAAGGAAAGTGCGTGGAAAGCAGCAAGAAGTGGGGTGGAGAAACCCAGCCGAGTAGGATGGAGGAACTGAGGTAAGAAGAGGATGGACAAAGCTAAGAGCTGTCCAGGTAAGGCCTTCTGTAAGAAACTGCCCCTGATCCTGTCAGTCGGCGCTCTCCGAGCTTCTCTTCCTTTCTCTGATGTGCCTGGTTCATGTCTCTGCCTGGCTGGTGAGTTAAGCACCCCTGGGCCTGTCTTTGGTAGTCCCTGAGTCCACCGGAGGTGACAGTGCTTACCCGGTGGGCCCAAAATCAAGCAGTGAGGGGAAAACAGCCACAAGGACAAGGAAGAAGGCCAGGTGAGAAAAGACAACAGCAACTGAGTAATTATCACACATGGGAAAACTTGGACTCTTGGACTCCCTTCTCCCACAGGACTCTGAAGCTATTTACAGAACCATGGGGGAGGGACAGAGAAGGAGAAGGAAAGATGGCCCCAGTCAGGTCCCTGAAGTCCATTCTGACAGGGTCAGGCCAGCATTTCCCACCAGAGGCAGGACTGACATCATCTGCACAGGGGTAGTTGAAGGATCAGAGTGAATGAGGTCAACCCAGGATGTCTGCTCACTTGAAGCAGGCTGAATGGCTGACCTCCTCTGGAAAGCACCCATCAGACGCCCCACCACAGGAGCCTCACCCTCAAGTCAGGATGGTCTGGCACGCATAATAACCAGTTGCCAGTCTCACGGCCACTCTCCTGGTGAGCCCTTTTAGAAGCAGCAGCTGCACCTCAGTCTCTGAGGGCAGTAAAAACAACACAGGGAGGGCTGGCCATACCATGTGCCTTGGAGAAAGCATCCCAATGCTTTGGGCCATAGTTCCTTCACAAGTCAAGCACTGGCCACACAATTCCTGCTTTCTCCCAGGGGTGTCACAAAGATAAACTAAGACATAGGTGTTTTAAAAGAAGAGCATGTGAATGTGATATATGCCAACTAGCTCTCTTCCTTCTTTCCAAATCCTTAAAAATATGGAGCATCCTTCTCCTCTCCCCCCTCCCCAAATACGATGGGCATTTTATTATCTAATAAAAAGCAAGGCTGGAAAAGAGAGAAAAGAAAAAGGTTACCTCCCAATGGATGCGATGTTCCCCAAGGTGTAAAACACTGCAAAGAGGCTGAGTCCCTTCCTGGGTACCCACAGCAGAAGAGTACCATAGAAGGGAAATCACAGGACATGTGCACGTGAGCCCAGCAACCACCAGAGCCACACAGCTGCCCCCCTACCTCCTATCTCCCTCCCCATTATCCACCAATTCAATGGTGTAGGAAAGAGAAAAGTAAGTGGGTGAAAGGAAAAGAATATAACAGAGAACAAGGAAAAGGAGGCAGGCAGAAGGAAACCTTACCAGCAGTGAGCAGAGGATTCCTATAACAAAACATGCGATGAAGCCTTTTATCCTGGTGCCCCAGCTTAATGACGAAGCCTCCACGACCTGCAGTTTCAAAATAACGATTACACAGATACATGAACATTTATTAAAAACAGAGAAAACTCACAATTAACTTAGATATGGTCTTAAGTGCCAGCGGAAATGGTGCTTAGCGCTGGTGTGCAAACCTGCCGGCCTGAGTTCCATCCCCAGAAACTGCGTAAAGGTAACAGGAGTGGAGTCCTGCCGGTTGACCCCTGGCCCCCACGTGAGTGCTGCCCACCTGCACTCCTACACACACAGGTAACAAAAAAGTTAAGGAAGGAAGAAAGAGAGGAGAAAAAGGAAGGAAGGAAGGAAGGAAGGAAGGAAGGAAGGAAGGAAGGAAG